ACCTTGTGGGAGCTTAAACCAAAGTCTTCATCAAACCAGTCTTGATCATCTCCTAAAGCACTCAAGAACTCTCGGCTCAGCTCCAGTTCTGCTAACCGCTTGGCAAGCTCTTTCTGCCCACTGGCACCAAACACTGGGCTTTCCTGTGATAAAAACCAAATTAAAGTTACTAGCAAAAGCAGTATCATAAACTATTGTCTGCTCTGAATTCAAATCCAGATAGATATTTAAATATACTTCTAATATAACTGGCAGATTATATGAATTTATTCAAAACTAAAAAACAATAGGAGAATATTCATTCTACTTATATACCTGTGCTTTTACCATTCATTCTTCAATGCTTCTGAGAAGTTACTGAAGACTTTAGACTAGATAGAAGTATTTTTAAAAATAAATGATCCATTCCTGATGCTCATTCTGCTCTGAAATCAAACAGTTTAAGATGGGGTGGGTGGCTCAACAGTTTGGTAATGGGGTATGGAATTTTTCACTTGACTTATAATCAGTAAGCATATAACTGAAATCAACAGCCTAAAAGCCATTACTATCTGATGGCTGTTTTGGTGGCGTATGGGAGGTGACCTGGTGCTTCACAGGACAGCAAGAGACCACCACTACAGTGGTCAGATTTCCTTGGAACTTCAACAGAAAAGCCGAGTCTTACATTCTTACCCTTCAGGGTGGCTATGAAAAAACCTGAACTTCTGTTCATGCCATAGCCATCCACTGGATACAAAACGTCACTTATTGCTGAGCTGTTACTCAGCATCTTGATCAGTTTGACACCATAATGATCTCTAAAGCAACTAACTGTAATGTCAGAGGATGATTACTTAATATGGAGAGTAAGCAGAAGCAAATTTACTCTTTGGCAGAAAAGTCTGCTTTTGGTCAAATTTAGATTAGAATGCAATAAAGGGAAGAGATAAATACAATAAACAAGTATATGAATAGGCTTCTCTCTAAACAGAATGCTTTTCATTTTTGCATGCGACATGAGAAGATCTTTCATATACCTTTGTAAATCCACCAAAATGTTTGAGTGGGTGCATCAACACGCTCATTAACGCACTTTTACTAATGCACATTAAATTTAGTACCTCTAATGTGAGATGCTAAATAAATGCACATTAGGCTCCCCTAATGCGCAGTAACAAAAATGCATGCTTTTTTAGTGATGCGTAATGTGCAGTAGCCTATTTTTACTGCATATTAATGTATTAGCATAGTTTTTTACATGATGCATTAATGCGCAGTAAAATAGGTTACTGCACATTAAAAACACACCTGTAGATATGTCCAGCATGTACCAGAAGGTGGGACATGCATCACAAGTCCTCCGCTAATACTACAGGAAGGAGGGTTAGAAGGGGAAGTGAAGGGAGAAGATCTACATAAAAACGTTGACACACACTTCTTCAAACTCAACAAATCAAATAAACAAACTGTTACTTCCCCAAATCAATGCAAGATGTATACTCACTGGTCTGGGACACATATCTGGAGAAGAAACTTCCTCTCTTTCATCTTCCAATTTAGAATTTAAGAAAAAGTCCTGCAAGCTACTCTTTCCTTGTTCCTCCACATGTTGGGCTGGTGTTCTGGGTGACAATTCCTCTTGGCCATCACAAAGCTCTCGATTGCTAAGTTGAATTTTCTCATTCCTGACCCTCTTGATTTGTTGAAATTGTTTAACAGCATCTTTAAGAAAGTCCTTAAGGAGAACATCTGTCAGCAAGCTGACCTTTTCTAGTTGATCTTCTGACTTTTCTTCTTCTCGAAGTGGCAATTTAAGTTGTGCTTCTAACTGGCTCTTTTCTTTTGTCAATAAGTCCATAAGTGGAGTAGCAAGTTTCTCCAAAACTCCAGAAGAGAGATGATCTAACTTTTCAATACACTCCTCCCCTAAGATTTGTTGCTTTTCCAGTTTTTCTGACAACAGATTATCTGATGCGTCTTCTAAGAGAACAGCAGAAATCTTTTCTATGGTGCCAGGAACAATGTCATCTTCTATAGAGTATTTGAGACAGTCTATCACAGACTGCTCTTGGGCAAGTGATTCAACAGCTGCAGAAATCTCCTTCACATGTTTTGCTTCAGGACTGGAGTCTTCATTATCTCTTTCCCCAGCTGGCCCTTCTTGAGCAGATATGCCTGTTGGGGCTTTATCTTGAGAATACTTTTCTGTTGCATCTCTTTCCTGGTCTTCATACTTGCCAGGTTTGGAACTTCCTTTGTTTTTTGGCTCTGTTTTGTGGTGCTGATTCAATTTATCATCAAAAAACGAGTCTTCATTTGTATCTACGTAGGTATCAAAACTTTCTGAAATATGAGATATCTTATGAGGAGGGGCAAAAATACCATGCTTTTCCTTGCAATCAAAATATTTAATACCATCATAAGTTCCATTGTTATTTCCTTCAGGCTTATCCAGTTCCACACCAGCCCAGATGCCTTTAGCAAACCTGGTCAGACCTTTGAACTTCAGTGTTCCAGGCTGGACACTACTCACAAGTACCCTGTCTCCAACATGGAAATTTAGGAGGCCATCTGCTTCTTCCACGATGGAAACTGAGGCCCAAGGTGATGAGTCAATGGGACCTGGTTCTCTCGTTACATCACTGCGTTCTTTATCTTTTATGAGCTCTGTTGGTGACTTAAGTTCTAATAATCTCTCTGAATGTATGCTGCCTGAGACAGAAAGAGACTTGTCACTGAGATATTCACTGATTTCATCATCACTTTCAAGACTGGTAGACCCACTTCTGGAAGTTTTTGCATGAAGTGATTTCAATCTAAGTGACTGAGAGTCTTTTCTGGGGGATAGCATAGATATCTCAAAGTCATCTTTGTAACACTCAGCAGAGGCATCTTCAATTGATTTTTCTTTTCTGTAGGAGACTCCCTCAAAATCTTCAGAGTATGACAACCCTTTCTGACCAAATATTTGTTCTGTAAAGTCTTTTTCTTCTATCAGTTTGCTCAGCTTGTAAGAAGACTTTCCTGTATCAATACTTCGATCACTCACAACTTCATCTTTGTTTATCTGTTTCTGTTCTGAGATTTCTTCTCTACTTTGAATATTTTCAAATGCAAAGTCAAATAGTTCTTTCTGAGATTGCTCAATCTCAGTGCAGGGGTCTTTTTTTGGAAAGACTTCTAGTGAATTCTCCTGCTCTCTCTCAAGTGTTAAGATGGCATCGGAGCATTCTGAATGTTTAATATTAGCACCTTCAACTTCAAATTCTCCTGGTTTTATGTACTCCATCTCTTCTGGTAACTTAGATCTGTGACTCGACACAATGTCATTAACAGATGCATCTTCTGACCTACTCTGTAACACCTGAGATAGTCTACAATACTCTCCTATGTCTTTGAAAAAAGATGAGGAGGACACACTATCCAAAGAATCACCAGATTCTGCTCTGGATTTCCTTGGTGACTTTAAGACTGGAGACAGGGTTTGGGAAGGCTCTTCTGTATGAATTTCTGTTTCAATGAATCTCTTGCTGTGCATGGACACAGATCGCTCAGTATTTGATGGTACAGCATCTTGAAAAAAAAGCATTGCAGCATTAATGTATTCAAGCTTGATCTTTTACTACCTTCTATCTCTATCAAAGTAAGTTAAGACTAAAAATGCCTGTGTTAATTGTTGGAATACTGTAACCATTACATAGACTTTAAGTCCAAAAATTCCATACTAAAGAATATTAACAATACCTCTGAATATTTTAGAGGTTACTGGACCATTTTGTAAATATCGGCATCATTCCCTCAGTTCTAGATCCTTAGGTCCTCCAAACAAACATTTTCCCTTGCATAAGTTTAATATCATAGGATGTGAATGTGGTAGACAAAGCAAAAGCTTAGCTTTTTATCTGGACATCAAAATGGCAAATAAAGTTATAGCTGTATACAGATCTTTAAAGATTAATAGTAAAAAAACTGAAAATACATTAAGAAAAGATTTTAAATATTTTCAGACCTTACATTGTTTTTTGTTCCTTTAAGGACCATTTTTTTCTTACATAAGGAAACACAACATAAAAGCTAGCTGCTAGATTTTTTTTGCGATTTCACACAGATCCAAGCAAGAATAAAAATACCTATTCAGTAGATTTTTGCTTTTCATGTCTCTTAATAGTAATAGTAATAATAGAGTAAGAAGAAAATGACAACCGGCTACTATGTCTGCTTAGTTAAAGACACTCTTCTAAAATATATCACTTTTCTTTAATAACATTTTTATTTTTTTTTTCTATAATCAAGTCCTTTATAAGAAGGGATCCAAGTGCAACATTTTCTAATTCAGGGAAGGAATATCCTAAGGTAAAAGCTTTGTTCTTGAAACCATTATTAAAGTAAAAATGGATGTAAATGTAAAAAAAAAAAAACACACAACTTGAAATGTGATCCATACTCATTTGAGCTATCCATACTCTCTGTTAATCTCCTCTACTCTGATACAGACAACAAAGAATTAATGATAAACAGGGTTTTTTTCAAAACACGGGGCCTTGTTACATAGTAATTCTTGATAGTTGGAACTCTTAACCTCCCTGGAGGTTCCACACTAACACCTTAAAGTGACTTAAAGCACTCATGTGGCTCAAAGTTATGCCACTCCAGGGCAGGATTCTCTCTTGATCCATACAACCCAGCTCCTGTTCCATTAAGGTGTGGCCACTCCCCACAGATGTGCTGCTCAAGTTGAAGATGCGACTGCTCCAAACTCCAAGCTAGCACTAAGCCAATCAATATTTGTGCAACTCACAGCATGGAGTGTAACAAGGCCCCAGTAAATTACAGAATTCTGCAAGATTAATATAAAGACTTCTCCATCTACAGTATTTACTTTTCCATTTACATACCAACATGTTCTGCAATGGATTCCAAAGATCGCTCTGATTCAGTCAATGATTTCCAATTCTTTGTCGCCTCAGGCCTAGGGTCAAAAAGTCAATACAGTGAACCACAGCTTTTTTCAAAATGTTAGAATAGCTATTCAAAATGTTAGTGTTGGTTACAGAATCACATGCCCCACACCGATGTGTAATTATGAACTGAAAATAGGAAGCAATTTAAAAAGTGAGGGAGAAGTTGGAATGGGTGCTGGAGAGGGTCTTTCTGTAGTGTTAATCATAAAAAATACTGCCCCCTACAATTAAAGCATAACCCTCCTATATGAGTATGCTACAAATCCCATCACATGCCAAAAGATAGGGACCTACCAAATTCATGGCAGAAGTAGGGTGCGTTGGGGCTCCTTTCATTTAGCAGGTCCCCCACCACTATCTCCCACCCCACCAATTAGTGGAGGGGTCCTGCTTGCAGCTCGCTCCTGACCGGCGAGGAGGCAAAAACTGCAGTTTTAAATATAGCGTCATTTTTGCCTCCTGCCAGTGATTGGCTGAGGGGCCCCAGATAGCTCTGCTGTTTGCTGCTGACTGGCAAGGAGGCAAAAATGGTGCCACGTTTAAAACCACAGTTTTAGCATCCCTGCTGATCAGGAAGGAGCAGCAGGGTCCTCTGCTAATCAGCAACGGAGTGGGGGAGAGAAGCAAGGGGTGAGGTGCACACAGGGGAGCATGCAAAATTAAAGGAGCCACCGTGCACTCTACTTCAGCCATGAATTTGGTAGGTTGCTACCTACAGTGCTGGTGGAACAGAGAGAAACACAAGGAGAGATGCCAAGAGATGTAGTGAGTTACTGCACTGTTTCACCTCAAGACAGCCTTTTTTTTTTTTTTTTTAGGGTTCCACAAAATCAGATTCTTCATGTTTCTCCCACGCAATATTCCCTGTGCTAGTGTGCACTGCATTTTTGAGATACCGTCATAATCTCCCCTCCTCCACTAAGAAAATGGTATAAAATGTTCACACACAAAAGGGTTTTTTTGTCAGCTTCATAAACCATAAAAAGTTCCCCAAGTACAGTAAGAAAGATCTATTCTCCTAATGCATACAGATATTAGAAGTAAATCAATATCTGCTGATCAACAGACTGAAAACACAAACTGTTCTTTTCTTCCATACTTGTGCAAGAATATCTTCAGACAAATGCTTTCTCTGTTGCAAACTTGATATATTTTTTAAATGACAACTATAGTTAAAATTGAAAAATATCTTCAAGACACTATAAATTACAAAGAGTTCCAAGTTACCTATGGAGTGGAGGTGGCTTGATTTTAGGTTTTTCAGTAGCTGAAGATGGAGTTTTAATCTGAGGTTTAGCTGTGGGTGATGTGTCCAAGTCTTGACTCAACTCTGCTTCGGTCTTCTTGATGAACTCATCGTAAGACTGAATATGAAAAAAGTAAGATTAATAAACCACATCTACTGGAAAGAGTTAATCCACCAAAGAGAAGCTATCAGATGTATATGTTGAACTGAAAGCTTGCAAAGAACAATTTGTTCAACTATTTAGTTGGTTTAATAAAAGATATCACATATTTAACCCAAAGAATCTTGTCTGCCTATATTGAACAAGTAGCTTATCTGCATAGATAATTCTTATTGTGCATGCTGGAGCATTTACTCTTAAAGTCAAACTCAAATAATGTTTTTCTAGCCTTAGTCTATATATTACTTTCATTAAAATTAAAATTGTACAACTGGTAGCACAGAAGTTTAATTAATGGGTTGTCCCTTAACTTCAAGAGCACTGTCCTTCCTATTGTTATTATTATATGGACTATGGCTGCATTATTGAAAATAATTCAATCAGCTTGTGGGCCCTGCCTCCACAAGATTCATAAGAGAGGGATGAGTAGAAGCATGCTACTTGAATAGTATAAGAGAAATGATTTCTCTAGCAACTACTTATAATATATTGATTTATACAGTGCTAACAGTGTTACTTGTTACAAAGCCCCTCTTCCAGTGGTTCCTAACCTCTAGTTGTTTGATCAAACTGGCCTCCTGGGCTTTCAGTCTTTCCTTCTGTCTCTTCTTCTGTTGCTTTTTCAATTGGTAGACAACAGACTTCCTCTTCCGTAGCTCTTCTTTTAGGGCCCTGATCCGGCCTTCAATGTCACTCTGGTCAGATGTAGTTTCTGAAAAAGTTAGTTTAAACTTAACTTTCAAACAACAATGTAAATAATACAGCAATGCTATCCAAAAGATACAAATAAACAGTCAAAGGACTCAAATCATTTTACATGTAAAAAAGTAGTAAAATAAATTAATTTTAACAAGCTCATTTCATTAAAATAAACACGGTTTGGTTCCATATACATATGGAAGTAAACAAGTGTCACATCATATTTTATTCAATTTGGAAAAGGCAGTTATGCTCTTAGTCATATTGTGGATCCTTTGAATGTCAGAATCACTAAACATTGTAATTCACACACTAGAATGTGGCACTGAAGAAACGGTTGAATATCCAAGAATCCTGATGCATTTAGAAATGAAAATACACAAGACATGCAACAAAGATGTTTGTTACGAGTGTGCTCTGTATACAGGCAACACTTAAGATAGCCAATACATACTAGAGCAGGGGTGGGCAAAATGTGGCCCGGAGACTGGATGCGGCCCGCCAGGCCATTCTATCTGGCCTGCAGGGCTCCTAAAAAATTTAGAAAATTAATGTTCATCTGCCCTGGGCTGCCTATCACGCGGCCCTCGATGGCTTGCCAAAACTCAGTAAGCAGCCCTCTGTCCCAAATAATTTCCTGTCCCTGTACCAGAGGGTTTGTTTTGTTTTAATTTTCAGAAGGTAAGTTTAACAAGCATTAAAAATATATATCATTGTCCTCATGCCATACCATTAAGCTGAGAATCTCAATGCATTCTTATACCCTTTGGCAAATGAAACACACTTGAGGATAAGGATAATTAAATAAACTGTGCCCTCCCAAAACAAACAAGCAAACAAAAAAACAAACCACACAGCAAATAAATTACAGAATTAAAAATAAAATGTCAAGCCTTTTAACTCCCAGTTACTTTTAACCAATATGGCATATGGGAGGGAGGGGAGTGGAGCGGTGCATGTTGTTGTGAATGTAGCCAGTATTCAATTCACAAAATTAAAGCAACAACAACGTAGCTCGTCTCTGTTTAATTAGGCAGGATGCATTGTAAACAGCTTCTAACACTAGCCAAATCAAGCTGTGCTTCTCTGAACAAATTTACATCATGAATGTATCATGAATTTGTTTGGACAAGATCTAAAGAGAAAAGTTGTCCCAAAAACTTCTTGTCTTTTTTTAAAGGAGCTTACACATTAAACAGGACCCCTCCCACCTCCCCCGCAAAAACAACCCCCTATGCTAAAAGAACATAAGGTCTCATAATCAAACACTTAATTGCTAGAGAATACCAGAATAAAGGCTGTCTCTACAACCTCTTTGCCCTACCTTGTAGCATTATGCTACACCTTTAATGACATATGCTTGTTTTTCGGATTCACTATACACTGTTTTATTTTATTCCGATTGCTGCACACTCTTCAAACCTGCTCTGAAGACAGAATTATTAAATTTACTACTGTGCTTTTCTATGACCCTTATTATTATAGTTGCTGTGTGCTTCACTAATATTAAACAGATTTATGTTCACAATACCCTTGTGAAATGAAGAGGTATCATTACCCCTGCTTTAGCGATGGGCTGGGATCTGAATTTTCTGTTCAATGCAGAAAAACAGTTAAAAACACAGATTTTTCTCAGTTAACACAGAAAAACGTGGGTTTCTCCTTTAAAGGAGAAAAATATGGGAAACCACAAGCTTCCCTTTGCAAGCTGGCTGGGTATCTGATTTGAGAAACGTAGGATCTGATTTTTCAGAACATGTAGCTTTAAAAAGTAATACAGTCAAAACACAGCTTCTGTTGACTTCAGATACAGCTGTGAGTGCTCAGTGCTTCTGCAAGGCAGATCCTGGGGTGTCAAACTGGGCTTTCACACTGCTATCAGATTTCACAGATATTTGATGACAACAGAGTAAATCTCAGGAATACTGAGTTCCTTTCTAATATCTGGACTGGAAGAAGGCCAACGTGGTGCCTATCTTCAAGAAAGGGAGGAAAGTGGATCCGGCTAACTATAGGCCCATCAGCCTGACTTCTATCCCGGGGAAGATCTTAGAAAAGTTTATTAAAGAGGCCAATCTTAATGGACTGGCCGACGTCAACATCTTAAGGGATAGCCAGCACGGGTTTGTTGCGGGTAGGTCTTGCTTGACCAATCTCATTTCCTTCTACGACCAGGTGACCTATCACCTGGACAAGGGAGAAGAGATTGATGTCATATATCTTGACTTCAAAAAAGCCTTCGATCTGGTGTCCCATGATCGCCTCTTGGAGAAACTGGCCAATTGTTGCCTTGGGTCCTCCACGATCCACTGGCTGGAAAATTGGCTCCGGGGTCGGACCCAGAGGGTAGTAATTGATGGAAGTCACTCATTGTGGTGTCCTGTGACCAGTGGGGTCCCCCAAGGCTCTGTCCTTGGACCCATACTGTTCAACATCTTCATTAATGATGTGGACACTGGAGTCAGAAGCGATCAGAACTGGCCAAGTTCGCCGATGACACCAACCTCTGGGGCAAAGCATCCACACCAGAAGACAGGCAGGTTATCCAGGCTGACCTGGACAGGCTCAGCAAGTGGGCGGACGAGAATCTGATGGTGTTCAACGCCGATAAATGCAAGGTTCTCCACCTTGGGGAAAAAAAACCCGCAGCATCCTTATAGGCTCGGCAGTGCTATGTTGGCTAGCACTATGGAAGAAAGAGACTTGGGGGTCATCATTGACCACAAGATGAACATGAGCCTGCAATGCGATGCGGCGGCTAGTAAAGCGACCAAAACGCTGGCTTGCATCCATAGATGCTTCTCAAGCAAATCCCGGGACGTCATTCTCCCCCTGTACTCGGCCTTAGTGAGGCCGCAGCTGGAGTACTGTGTCCAGTTTTGGGCTCCACAATTCAAAAAGGATGTGGAGAAGCTTGAGAGAGTCCAGAGAAGAGCCACGCGCATGATCAGAGGTCAGGGAAACAGACCCTACGATGACAGGCTGAGAGCCCTGGGGCTCATTAGCCTGAAAAAGCGCAGGCTCAGGGGTGATCTGATGGCCACCTACAAGTTTATCAGGGGTGACCACCAGCATCTGGGGGAACGTTTGTTCACCAGAGCGCCCCAAGGGATGATGAAGGGATGAATGGTCACAAACTACTTCAAGATCATTTCAGGCTGGACATAAGGAAGAACTTCTTTACTGTCCGAGCCCCCAAGGTCTGGAACAGCCTGCCACCAGATGTGGTTCAAGCGCCTTCATTGAACACCTTCAAGATGAAACTGGATGCTTATCTTGCTGGGATCCTATGACCCCAGCTGACTTCCTGCCCTTTGGGCGGGGGGCTGGACTCGATGATCTTCCGAGGTCCCTTCCAGCCCTGATGTCTATGAAGTCTATGAAATCTGAAGGAGAAGTTAAAATACTGGGTACAGATCCTTCTGCTCAGTCATTTCCAGCCTGTCTTTCTCCCAGTCTTATCTCTTTCCTGGCTCTGGTCCTTTTTGTAATCCCATTCACCTCAGTACATCAGTCCCAGTTTCCAAGCCTCAGATTATCCTAGTCCATGTGCCCTAGTTCAGCCAATCCTGTTCTTCTCTCACAATCTTCCCTACTAGCAATTGTGTCACCAGTCATAGTTTTCCTGCAATGGACTCCCCATCTCAGTCTTCTGTCTCTACTTTATCCCAGACTAAGTCCCAATTTCCCTCCTGTCAAACCTCTGGTCGCCTCCCAATTGGGACTTCCTTGTCCCACCTTACCACTAACACATCCACCACCTCGTCTGCTTCTTGTCTTATACATCTGAATAAAGCAGCAAGGTTCCTTCTCCCAGGTGGTTCTGGTGCTACCTAGTGTTTGTCTGCATTCTAGAGTAGAAAATACAGGGGAAAGCCTTAGTGCCCCAAGGCTGGAATCAAAAACTTTGAAGTCTCTATATGCTCATTAGAAACTGGAAATTTTCAATAGCTTTAACACTGGTTAAACTTGGGCAATTTTCATTATGACATGCCACTTTCCTGTGGAATTTCAATATCCTTGCTCCAAAGAGTGGGGACATTAGAGCTTCTCAAAAAAAGAAAAAGTGGCGAGGTGGGGGGCCAAGAATTCAATATTTTTTTAACATATTATTCTCTAGTCTTGTACTCAGGAATGATGGAACTCTTTTAACTGAAATTTTCTGAGAAAATTCAGCCTAAAGACAATGCCCTAAATTCATCCTAAAGAAAACAAAACAAGAAAAAAAAAAAAGAATTCAGCATTGATGAAAGTTGCCAAATGGTGTAACTCAGAGAATGAAGTCCTCAAACTACAGAACAGATAAACACAAGGCAGAGGTGTGTAGCCTTTCCTACAGCAAAAGAGCATTAAACAATAAAACATCTCTAGATGGAAATAATTAAGAGCGAAAGACTATGAGCACAAAAACCCCTAGTAAGGCCTGCTTTTTAAAAAGCAAAATGAAGGAAAAAATAAGCTTAAGTTCTCATATCACTGAGAACTTGTGTAAACTAACCGTCTAAGAACTGATTCTAGGGATCTGTGTTGCTTCCAGAAAAATTAATGATATCTGTGCTTAGAAAACATTAAACTTTATAAACTTTACTGATCAGTTGCATGCAGGCACGAGAACTTGCATGAAAGTCTTGGCAACCTTAACAACTGGATTTATGAGTCAATTTATTGGCTTACTTAAACAGTGTTGAAAAATATATGTAAGCACAAGAAAATACACTCTCAGTATCTACAATCTTACCTGACTGTGTCATGGATAAAGACTCATCAGACCAACTGTGGGACACCTGATGGGATTTCAAAGGTAAACGCAACTGCCCTCCAGTTCTATGGCTTCCTTTGCTGGAATCCTGTTTTGACAGAGATGTACTGCTTTTGGAAGGAGACTAATCAAAGAAGGAAGAAAAAATAAGTACCTGCTTGTAAAGCTTAATTTAAAAGTATGAGATCATTGTCATCACTAGCTTATTACAAAGATGGAAGTATTCTCTAGTCATAAATCTTTAGCAACATTAAGCAGTTAATTCAGTTTTATTATGCATCAAAGTACAAGTATCAAAAGGAGCAATAGTGGTAATTTGCCTTTAGTGTGGACCCCAGTAATCCTACCTTTTATGGATTACCCTTCTCTTCTACAAGTACATTTATGCATTTTTGATTAACGTTTAAAAAAAAAAAGATTGAACAACTGAGGTAACCGTAACTTGTACGAAATACATGCAAAACTGCAGATATGTAACAGGGCAGATCTGCACCATGAGCAGCAATGGCACATGAGGAAGCAGTGACCATCAGACTGCCAGTGGCAGTAGCAAGGCCAGTCATCAGCTGCAGTGGCTGTTTTGTCTGCGGTCCCTCCACCAGCCCTGCTAAAGTTGGCACCTGGGGCTCCTGCCCTTGTCGTCCCACCTTCCCCTTGCTCCCCACCCTCCCCCCAGTTAAGCTACTGAAGTTTAAAAATGCTTAACTGACCCCCATTCCCAAACAGATTTTTCTCCAGTGACTTTTAAGGAATTCTGACACTAGTATTTTTATAGGTAGTTGGATTATTTTTAAACAAACAACAGAATAATTAAACTCCCAAGTAGCCAAAGGTTAATTTTCTACATGTTTCCTGATGTTTGTTTTCCAGTACTAGAATATAGAAGTAAAAAGCATAAAAAGGTCACTTACAAGCTTGGCAGGTGAGGTAGTGGACTTGAGGCCCTGCGAAGAAACTATTTCTTCAGTAAGTGTACTATGATCAGGGCTTGCAGGTTGTTCATGCCCTATAATCTCTGATGGGATAGACTCAGCAGGTGGACTCCCTAGTTCTTCAGGAACAGAGCTTTCACTGTTTAGATGAGAACAGGAAAGCACTGGAGACTCTTCTTCACTGGCTGTTTCTAAAAAGAGATAACAGGAGGGAAGAGAGAGCACATGGTAAGAGTTAGCCATGCAAGTACTTGCCCTGAACATTATTTTGATTTCTGCATTTGATGAAACAAAATATAAAAAAAAAAATACATGTCACAAACAGCATTTAAGTACTAGATTGCACAATGTTGTTTAACTTGTACGGCTTGGATTGCTCAACAAGGCAGACATTTTAGCAGAGAACTGCAACTAAAGACTGTCAAATGTTAATAGAGACAGCTAAATGCCAAAAACAATAGCATTTCAGCATATTCTAAATTAACTTTTGCCAAATTAAATGGTTCTAAATGAATAGCTCTCAACATTCAGAAATGACAGCCTTCTCTACTCAGTTAAAGCCTCCACCAGCCACTGTGTTGCTGAAGTCAACTGCTGTGGACTAATGCTGAAGTATAGAATCTATCAATGGGAATAATAATAGTTGTGGAAGAACCTAAAAGAGGGGAAAGAG